GTTTGGAGGTGACATGAATTCCAAAGATTTCTGGAGATGACTTCATATTTTGGTGTACATGGAAGGTGATGGGCGATGGCTGCTCCTGCTTATCGAGGAACATCTTGGGTATCTTCCGCCCTGGTACTCGTATCCACGTCTTCTCTCTGTCTGGGCTGCGAAAACTTTGCTGATATGTAACTCGGTCGAGATGGCTTTCTTCTATTGGCCCTCCCTGTATATGCAAGCATTTACAAACAGGAGCCATAACTAGGACCCGAAATAATTTCTTCTGTCTGTTGCTCTATTACAACTTGACGGCGATGTATACTGTGAGCTGGCTGAGGGTACCTGAACATTAAATTTGACACTGTACAACCGTTTTTTTACATACATATAGTCATGACCCCTACAAACGATAGGGCGTGTGACAGGGTTATGGAATGGAGCGCCAAGACGGAATTCTCTTCAGTGATGCCATCCTGAGACCGCATCAATTAAAGATAACTATTCTGGTTGCTATCCAACTCATAATCCGTTACCCCTGGCAGAGATTATGGCTATGTTGTGCACTACTTCTTTGTTTGAAAGTCCACATCTTTCCTAGACTTACAAGGGTCGATTCGGCCATCTGCAATGAGGTCGATTCGGCCATTTGCAATGAGATGTCTATAGATGGACGTGTCTTGAGCCGCTGCTCAAATTTGCCCTCGAATTTTGCGGAACGATTCTCTGAAGGGAGTTACAGACAATTTATTCTCTGCACTGTTCACACAAGTCCGGAGGATAACCGGCGAGCGGGTGTGGTTTAGTACACACCCGCTAGGTTGATAAGGGCATCGCTTTAGAGGAAAGGGGTCGCATGTTGAAACGCCTTGACTCATGTAAACTTTTGCTTTTCTTTGAAACCTTTCATATGACTTCCAAAAACACTTCTGCTAAGCTAACTTACCTGATTCTTCAATTATTTTACTCAAGGTGGAAGGAATTTCTTCATCTCTGGTCCTTTTGAGATATTATATTTGGTTATGAAGACATCCGGTTACCAAAGCTTGCGTGAAAAATAATTTATTATGGCGAGCCAAAGCTCGACGCACTGGAGATGCACGATGCCGCAACCCTGAATTCGTGCGCAGAGTTTTTGAGGGTTTTTTTTGTCACGAGTTCCCGTCGTTGTTTTGTAATTTTTCCTATTCTTTTCTTTGTACAGGTTGATATTTACTACTCGGAACTGCGAAAAGGTTTCTGAGTCAGTGGTTGCACAGGGACCGCAGGGCCTTATGACTTCCAGTTACACAGCGAATATGTAGTGTTCTTGAGAACTCTTGCTTTTTTTGGGGATCACTTATCGGCTACTGTTTCATAAGTGAACAGCAACTATCCATAACACTTATCGCGGGAACTGTTTTTGAGTTGTCTAATGGTTCCAGAATACCTCATTTGTTTTCGGATGTCATTTGTTCTACGTTTTTTTTACAGTTTCATAGCACCCACTCCACTCAGTTCTGTGAAGGTGCGATGGAAATTCAAGAAAAATATGACAGTATGAGGTGTTTGAAATTGCTGCGAGCTCCGCACACATGGAGCCAAAACTCAGAATTTCCAGACCTCACCCATTTCAAGGAAATGTCTAATAGCTGCAGTAGTTACCGTCCCAAAGACGGACGATGTTTTGATGGTGTGACTTGAGAGAGCGTGACCGCTGTTTCCGAACAAACTATCTTCATCACTTCCCTAAAGTGCTTCCATTTCATCATGCTCTTTCTTTTTTTCATTATTCCACTTGGTTAGTCGTTTGCATAGTTGCTAACGTCGCAACCAGTCGGGCAGTGTCAGTAGGTCCAAGTGAGCCATCCTCCGGCTGCCCTGCTCTGGCAGTGGCGATTGGTTAGTAGTGAGTGATCAGTTCAGGAAGAAGGCAACCAGTGATGGGAACGGGGATCATCCCATCCCTCTAGGGTTCGCCCCGAGTGGCGGCGGGATGAACTGTACAACTAATCCCGGGGAAAAAAACTTACCAGGGAAGTCTGCCAACTTACCATGGAACTTTGGATGAAGATCTGGGTAGATTGGTAGGAAAGGTCTGGGTATCTATAGTTTATTTACAAATATAGATAGCAAACTGCAACCTGCGTTTCACAAGCAACTTATGAGCAGGTAAAGTTTGTAATGGTGCAGTAGGGTGGAGGCTTGGTGGTGAGCTGTGAAGCAGGAATCGCATACGTCGAATCGAGTCGTCGAACGTCGAACCTTACCACTGAACCACCACGACTCGATTCGACGTATGCTTCACAGCTCACCACCAAGCCTCCACCCTACTGCACCATTACAAACTTTACCTGCTCATAAGTTGCTTGTGAAATGCAGGTTGCAGTTTTGCTATATATGTTTGTAGGCAACCTTATGGAATCTGTCGAAGGTCTCAACCCAGGTCTCTATTCCAAGTTCCATGGTAAGTTGGCGGACTTCCGTCTTTAGAACAAACTTCAGAAAGGCATTTTCATCTGTTCTGAGCTATCTATTCTCTTCTCAAACATCAGTATTGGAGACAGAATCTAAGAATGTAATGTTGTAACACAATAATACTGGAATTTTGCAGTTGTTTCAGTACATCAACATAATTGTAACAAGTACAAACTAATTAAATCAAAATCTTTATAATCATTATAACAACTATAAACTAATTGTATCACATTTGCATCACATTAGTATAGTAACTGATGTTTGAAGGCACGGTCCGTGATCAGCTAAGTTGAAAATGTGGCATCGCAAGGGTAGTATGGTTTGCGGCGAAGGAAATCGATCGATTTCTCGGCAAAAAACTGTTTAGGCTGCGTTTATACTTTGCGGCAGCGTAGCGTAGCGTAGCGCAGCGTAGCGTAGCGCTTCCAGCGTACGCCAGCGGCAGTGCCGAAGAGAGGATGCATATCGATCTAGCTTCACCAGCGTCACCAGCGGCACGCTGGCGTACGCTAGCGGCACGCTAGCGTACGCTAGCGTGCACGCTAGCGTACGCCAGCGTTTCTCCAGCGTTTCACCAGCGTTTTGCTAGCGTTTGCAGCGGCAGGGGAGTAGAGACTATGGGAGAGCTGGAGGGTACAAAACACATCGATTGCGCGTCTCCCACTCGCCCTTAGTCTCTACAATGCACATCGCTTCTGCGTCTCCGACGGCCCCATAGTCTCTACGATGCACATTGCTTCTGCGTCTCCGACGCCACATAGTCTCTACAATGCACATCGCTTCTGCGTCTCCGACGGCCCCATAGTCTCTACGATGCACATTGCTTCTGCGTCTCCGACGCCACATAGTCTCTACAATGCACATCGCTTCTGCGTCTCCGACGGCCATATGGTCTCTACAATACACGTCGATTCCGCTTCTCTCACGGCCACATAGTCTCTACTCCCCTGCCGCTGCAAGCGCTAGCAAAACGCTGGTGAAACGCTGGAGAAACGCTGGCGTACGCTAGCGTACGCCAGCGTGCCGCTGGTGACGCTGGTGAAGCTAGATCGATATGCATCCTCTCTTCGGCACTGCCGCTGGCGTACGCTGGAAGCGCTACGCTACGCTGCGCTACGCTACGCTACGCTGCCGCAAAGAGTATAAACGCAGCCTTTAGAAGGGCTTTATGGCGCAATATAGGTGCAGTGACGCCTCCTCTTTCCAGTGAGCCCGCCTCTAAACCCCGCCTTCAAGGCCCGTCTCTCAGTGGAAAACGAAGCTGCAAAACATGAAAATCGTCTCTTGTACTGTCGTATGTTCTTATTGGGGAGCTAGCTATGCGGATGGGTAGTGTGCTGTGTTGGAGATGGATTGGGCACTACGAACTGGGATCAAAATGGGGTTCTATCCAGGGCAGCTGGCATGTTTTTTCTGCTTTTTTCTTTACAATCGAGTTACTCAGCTCCTTGTCGTCTTGATCTCTGCAAACCCCTAATCCGCTATCTGTGAAGACGAATGATCGCGGGCTTTGCTTTTAAGCCGCAAAGCGCGCTCCGAATATTATCACATGAGTGCTTGTATATGGGCAAAAGCCGTACCCGAAACGGGACTGGAGCCTGCATATCCCGCTTACCGAGCGACTGCGTTATCCATTACCTTACTGCGGCCACTCTTACCCTCTCAGCTAATTGGTTTTATGTGTCATAGCCGTACAGCACTCACAGAAGAGCACGGCGAGAAAAACTTCACTACCTGACGCAAAAAAATATTCCAAATGGAGTCTTACTCAGCGTTGCACGAGTTTGTCTGCGAAGGATGACAATCATAGGGTGCCCAAATGCTGGCAAGGATCCCACAGACAGTCGTGGATATGCTTGGTCCTATACTTGACCCTACGAAAGGAAACTCACTCTCAGAACATGAGCATGAATGGGCTTCCCAGCCAACGTCCATCCAACTTTTCAAAACAGTTTCGTATGACAATCAATATATGATGCAATACTAAAGTAACTAATAACTTTGACTTCAACTCCGGTAAAAGGAGCTGCTGTGGAGGTTCTGCTAGTGGAAGAAACGTATGCATGAAGCAAAGTAGTGCATGAATCATTAAAAAATACAATTTTTATACAATAAATACATAGAAATCAACTGCGAACAGAGTCTTCTGATGGTTTGGAACCAGGCATTCCATTGGGAGTAGCTAGGGTGACTGAAGTACCAGGAGGGGTCTCAGGAGGAACTCCAGGAGGCAACGGCATATGTTGCTGATCAACCCCTGGAGGAAGGGGAGGGCTGGTGAAGCTCTGAGTTGACTCTTGAACTGGTGGCTGAAGTGAACTCTGGAAAGTGTGAGGGTTAATGTTACCATCATAATACTCTGAGTAGTACCACGAGTTTGGCGGCGGGGGTGGTGGAGGGGGAGGTGGTGGAGGAGGAGGTGGAGGACAGCCATAGGGTGGAGGTGGTGGTGGGCGATAACCATAATAATGCGGAGGTGGAGGAGGTGGGGGATACCAATAATGAGGAGGCGGAGGAGAGAGGGGTGGTGGGGCGTAGGAGATATGGAGATATCCAAACTATGAAGATCGTGGGGAGGTTGGTGGAGTGGAGACAGCCATAGGTGGAGGTGGTGGTGGACGATAAGTATTATAATGCGGTGGCGGTGGAGGATATCCATAATGGGGAGGCGGAAGGGGAGGCGGTGGCGGTGAAGGATATCCATAAGGAGTAAGCGGTCGAGGCGGCGGTGGAGGTGGCCATGGAGCTGCTAGTGCCGGATACTGCGATGGAGTTGGTGGTCCTGGATATGATGCTGGAGGATAATCATTGCTAGCTTGCTGCACATCTGCATTTATTCCAGGAGGTTCACGGCGGTGCCTGAACACACGAAAGTTGTTGGCCACACAATCACAATGCTCGCAAACGATAGGCCGTGTGACGCGGCACGGTTAGCAGCGCAGCCAGGGCACCAGTGACGCTGCTCCCAGCCTGATACAGCTGATGGGCAATCCGATCTGCTGCGCTCCAGAACACGCCCCAGTCAGACGCCCTATCGTTTGCAGAAATCACGTCTGTAAATGCTTGCATATACAGGGAGGGCCAATAAAATAATCAAAAGATACTTTGGCCGAGTCACATATAAGTAAAGTTTACGCAGCCCAGAGAGAAGAGTGGATACGAGTACGCGGAAGATACCCAAGATGTTCCTCGATAAGCAGGAGCAGGCTCTCGCCCATCACCTTCATGTACACCAAAATATGAAGTCATCTCCAATCGCAGCCTGACTGGAGAAGGCCTATGGAATTCACGTCACCTCCAAACAGCTGCGAAACTTCTTGTATGGAGTCACCCATGGACAGCTACCTGGAGACCGGTACTCTTGATCTGGAAGACCTCCAACATCGAGCAGCTCGTCGCTACGGTCTAGGACATCATCTTCACCGCAGTCGCCAAGGCGCGGGTTGATGGTATGGACCGGAAGTTCCTGGAATGGGAACACGATATTTTCTTCGTGAACGCTGACGATTACATCGACCAATCTGAGGAGAATATCCTGCCTTCATGTCGTCGCCATACCATCTTGGAAACTTCGTACTGCTACAGGATTGGGTGCCACCACATGGAATCGAAGGGCGTTGGAAAAACTCTCGCCTACTTGGAATGGAAGGGCGTTGAGTACCTGAAGAAGACGGAATATCTAAGTGTGTCACCTGACCTAAACCCCTCGATTACCGGGTCCGAGCGGAGCTCAACAGGGTGGTCTACAGTGGCGGAGAAATCAACGACCTCGCTGAACTCAGGCACCGAATCACGGTCGCGTGGCAGAATCTCTCGATGGCGCTCGTCCAGAAGGCTGTGGCGGAGTTTCGTGATAGTGTACAATGTGTTGTTGAATATGATGGTGGAAATGTCCAATCAAAATTTATAAAGTGTAACTTACATCTCTTGAAAGTCGAGGGAGAAAGGTGTCTTTTTTATAGCCCCCTCCCGCCTGTATAGGCTAACCAGTTGTTTACGACTGAATTCTCCTACTCTCTTACCTTACTTGACAAGCCAATAATCTGGCAGAAGTGCACGTAAATCGTGTTGTAAAACTATTTGTTCATGTTTTGTATATACATGGGTTCGTTTTCTCCTCTAACGTTGCTGACAATGCCAAGAAATAGTAAAAAACTGCAGAACTAGAACGGATTTTGTAGAAGAAGAAGGGCGGGGGTTGCTATTCAAATTCAAGAATCGAGTAGTTAATAGCACAAATAGACGTGATAAATAGACGTGAAAGATTGAGAACAACTAGGCTGCCGGACTGTTTGCGACTATAGGACTGAGACCATCAGATTGACCTCTTCTGGCATGGTCAGAAGAGAGAAGGATGAATCTCACTTCTGCGATCCATGTCCCACGCCCAGAACATGAGATAGATCCACCCTCAAAAAGTATGTTCCATCAGTTCCCCCGCGTCAAATGTCTCCCCATTTGACCTTTTTATCTTCTAGTCAGTTGGGCTGCACTATAAATTTGGTGATCCTCCCATAGGCTATCAGCTCTTATCGATTATCACTCTCTGTCACCAACGAGGTTCGTCGCACCCGGTAGCTATTCATCAGTTTGAATTCTCCGTGGGTAAATCTATATCGAATGATCTTATTAATTACCGGTTAAATATACACACACCTGACCCATACCTGACCCATTGGCAGCGGTCTCGCTTCAGAAGCGGGAGCATGCGGGTTAGCTTTCCGTAAAATGGAACCTGTAAGTTAACGCGAACTAGCGAAAGGAACTGGCGCAAGTGCAAGGGGCCCATAAACTAGACAGCACATCGATTTTCGCAATAGAAATGACGGTCTGGAATGAGTTGGAAAATGGAATGAACACTTTTCCCTTCGATGAAAGTCAGACGATTGCTTACGCCAAGTCTTGAACTCCTTTCAAAGATGCACTGTTGCTTGCTTTTTGCTGAAAATGCAAAGGAGATGAGACGACCAAAATTATGGGTGCTATCTAGGTGGTATGGCGACATCCACCTTGCTTAGCGGACCTTGCCTCTTCTCGAAAGGATCAATGCACCTAAGCTGACGACAACTAGAGAAGGAAATCGTTCGATTCTAATCAATCTGGAAGAGTGTTGGGTAACGCAGCTATCTGGAAGACTGTAGAGCTACCCAGCTACGTTCATGTAGTTTAAACCCCGATGTTTATTACTATGAAGAGTGAAAGCCTCGTTCAGTGGAGGGTTATCCTGTCTTCAAGTCGGGTTCGAAGCGTCGTGGAGCTTCCCGATCAACGCACATCTCAGACAGGGCACAATTAGGTAGCATTCATACTCCACCTCAGCAGCGGCTATCGCTCGGTCGCATAGCCGCGGTCGTAGCAAGCGCCACGATCGTGGATATGCGACCTAACGCGCTCCATCGCTAATAGTTAGACCGCTCCTCCACCAAATAAGAAATTGCAAATTGTAAAACCTTTTCTTCCCAGTAGTGGCCATTCACTTTAAGCGTGCGACTTTCTGTATCCAAGAGGATCTCAAATATGTAGGGGGAAGGCATTCTTTTGGAATTCGAGACAAGGGCGTCGAGGTGAGCTTCTTCTTATTTTTTCCACTCCGATAGATACAAGTGCTTCGAAAACCTCGTATTGGCCTAAAGTGCCCAACTTCTAGTACTTCCATAGTTCACGGATCGAGTCTGTATAATGAAAAAAGAAGCCATACTCATCTAGGGAACAAAAATTTAGGCAACCAACGGAGAGGAACATCTCGACCACATGTGTACGCTTGAATGAAAAAAGAAACAATAAGGAGTATTCCTAAAATGTTCCAAGGTCTCTGCTCATCCTTACCAGTTAGTGAAAGAAGAATGGAAAAGAATGGGTCCTCACATTTACGATAAACTTCCCTCAAATCGAGAAACGCGCTTGTTTGAAGGCAATTGTGACTAAGGAGGAAAAAAAGCTGTGAAAACGGGAATTTCCTCGCTAGCACCCGGTACGCTGCGATTGCAGACGCGCTCGCAGCAATCGCTGCGATCGCGGCGAGCGCGTCTGCTTCAGGGTCTATGTGATGTGCGCGTTAGCGTGCGCAGCAGAACTGGTGTTGCTTTAATGGCGACATAAACTCATCAGACAACAACGAGATCGTTCAGTGCATGGTGCGCTTTCTAAAAACTGTTCCTTGCATAATCTAGGGGCGGCGCATGCGGGGACCAGAAAGGTGAGGTCCATTTCTGCTGAACGCTTCTTTGCATACAAGAAAAATTGGTTGATAATTCGTATAACCACCAGGACAAAGTTTTGCTTTTCCGTAAGTTTTCGTGTTTTGTGCCCGTGTATGCTTGAATCCTTAAGTCCCAACACAACATGCACGAAAAGCCCAACAATCTTTTTTCATGGAATAAATGCGCTTTCTTCTTTCCAATTCGTTGACATTCACAGATCTGGGCTATTCGACACCATGTTGGCACCATATGAGATTGGCGTCAAAAACAGGTGTCGGAATCGTGAGTAGGACCACCGATTATCCCTGAGACGAACTTCGAGCCAAGAAAATTTTTTTGACTTTTTCATGTTGTAGTGCACCATTTGGTCGCCTCACCTCACCACGCCCTGAGCGACCTCCCCTACCAACATCATCTGTGAAAAAGGCTTCGGTACGAGGAGCAGGGAATCTTCCTTGAATAAGCACTGTATGCTTCCTTCTCTAAGACAACTCGAAGGACCTTGAATTCTATTAAGAATCTCTATTTTTCTGTTCGAATGCAATTACACCCAACCTTGAATCATAAAATTATTTTCACCCGCGATCAGTACGTGAACACAATCCAATCACGAATGCAATTAGGATTGTAGCTATCTCTCCTTCACGGAACAATATTTCGCAATGACGGGTCTAATGAACCAGATCATTGGTCACTGTGTTCAAAATCAAATGCCTCAACGATCATGTGTGAATAAGGATAAGAAGTCAGCGGCATACATTGGTCCTCAATAAGAAATGCATTACCCCTCCCCTTCCCACGCCTTCCTCCCCCACCCTTCCACCGCTCGACAGCAAACTTTTGCGGAAAAAGTAGGAAAATTCTCGGGAAGCTGCGGTAAAAAAATGAGAAAATCTGGGAAAATGGTAGGTACGATGGAAAAGAATAGGATCCTACTTTCCTCGCGTCTTTTTTCGTTTCATACGTGCTATACCATCCCTCTCTCCTCCTACCCCCACCCCCCTTCCGCTCGAAAGCTCGATCGTATCAGAGGAGGGAGCTGCGGCTGCGGTCCTACCAGAGGAGGGAGGGAGTCCAACGATAAGCTCAACGCTTTTGCGAAGAACGGTGAAAGGGAAATGGAACGCATCGCTCACAAGGGAGGTCTTTCAGGTCGTGGCGCGAAATGGTTTGTTGCATGCTGTAGGGGTCCATATGTGGAGCACAGGAATGGGTTCCGCTTTTGCTATGCATTTCTTATGCTGGGAATGTGTTCAAAAACGTGAAAGTTTGCTGGGGAAAAGCGATTTTGAACCATTTCTCTAGGCTTCTTTTCTATCCTACTATATATAATCCGCTAAGTTTGTCTGCTGGTGAGTGTGAATGTATGTTGTGTGTGTCTGTTATGTGTTGTTTGACCGGAAATCAAAACTTTCCTCAAAATAAGCCAGTTGGGAGCGCTCAAATTTATAGGTGATGTAGGAGGTCGGGCAGGAACACTATTGGTAGGTGGCAGGACGTGATAACAGCTGATAAGATAACATGAGGAGCCTTAGAAGGGAAATATCACCATCTCCATAACGCGCGTCACAGCGACGCTAGGACTTTGGTTCCAAGAAGTAGGATTATGGGTAAGATGGGAACATCATTGGTGGGTGGCAGGAAGTGATAACGGCTGAT